TGAAGTTATTGACCCACCAGTTTTGTATGAGCCATCAGAAACTGATGATCCACTTGAAATGGATGATCTCCCGGAAATGGATGATCCTCCTGAAACGGACGTACCAGCTTTGTTTGATAAGCCTGATAAAGCTGATCCTCCTAAATTCATTGATCCACCCAAATTCATTGATCCACCAAGTTTGACTGACATACCTGTTTTGGCTGATATATCAGCTTTGGCTGACCCAGCCTTTTCCATTCCATCTAAATTTACCCGCATATTTCCATTGGCAAACTGGCTGCCATGTTTTTTTATTTTATCATGAGTTTTTTCTTTGAAAATTGTTTCAACGTGACTTTCAGTTATTTTCATTTTACTGTCTTCGTTGGATAAAGTATTTGATTTTCCGCTACGCATTGCACCACCGTCAACTGAATGATCATGGTTTTTACTATTTTGCAACTGATAATTATTTAAATCAAGGTTATTTTTCAGACTAAAATATTTGTCGCTAGTATGAACATTTGATTTGTCAACTAAAACATTTCTGTCTCGACTGCCATGATCATTTTGTCCACGCAACTTTCCCCCGTTCGGAAATTCGTTCATTTCGCCAATAAAATTTTCATTTTCAGTGACAACTTTTTCTTTTTCATCAACATGAATGTTTTTGCCAAACGTTTTGTCCCCACTAAAATGACTTTTTATTTTGCCAAAACCGCTAAAATCAGACTGATCGTGACTTCTACTTTTTGGAGTTTTAATGCCGATTTCATGACTACCTCCGATCTCAAAATTATCATGTATTTTTCCATTACCAATACTGCCAGATTTATCATTGGTTTTACTTTTCTGGAACTTAAAGCCATTTTCACGACTACTTTTTTCTTTATCAAATTTCACAAACATTTCACCAGTTTTTTTTGATTTGTCTAAACTTCTGTTATCGCCATCCAACTGTTTATAATCGTGGCTTTCATTACTTTTATCTTTTCCAAAAGCGAATTTTGGACTAATTTTAAATTTACTTTCATCAAAAGAACCGCTCAC